GTGTGTGTGTGTGTGTGTGTGTGTCTGCATGCTGCTACTTTTATCTTTGTTAGGACCAACTGCAGTTTATTCAAGGACAGTTTTGGATTGTATAGACTGTTGGACCATCATTTAATTAGTGTGGTGTTTTAATGTGAAACTAAGATAACAGTACATTAAGGTTAGTAGGGCGAATACCATGAAAACAAATGAAATTAAATAATAACATTTGTCAATGGCAGTGTGTGTGTGTGTGTGTGTGTGTGTGTGTGTGTGTGTGTGTGTGTGTGTGTGTGTGTGTGTGTGTGTGTGTGTGTGTGGTTGACAGTCCTTTCTATGTTTGGGATAAAGTTCTTGCTAAATGTCTTAAACTCTCTTTTGTTTAACATAAAATACTTTTAGATTTGAAAAAAGATCTATAACAAGTTAAATTTGATCCATTACTTAGATGGGTTATAAAACATGAGCTTTGTCTACAGCTCTGAAAGTTTCAGCATCTTAAACTTGAATTCTTTCTGTTAGCCAGCAGAGGGCAACTTTTGACGACGTCTGATAAGAAAATCACCCTACTTTTCACTGTCTTTATGTACTCAGTAATACTTTAGTTTTTGATCACCGGTACTGAGCCTTCTTCGATAAGGCATGGTGCATCTTTTGTAAGCAATGTTCAAATTTAGAGTAAACTAGATGATAACACCAGGTATGTTTTGGGGTAGTACTATGTGATTTATTGATGTGTATTGTGTACTCTCATTGTAAATCTGATCCATCCTTCAGTCAAGACATTCATAAAAGCAACACCCATCTTTTATGTACAGTCTGTAACCCATCTTTGATGTCCAGACATGTCGCTTGTGAGCAAGAGAGACATCTGATCATGCGACTGACTTCCAAACCTTCCATCCTGATGAGTCAAACATTGCAACACAAGAGTAAGATGGTTTAAAAGCTATAATTGTCTGTGAACCACACTGTGATGGGAACAGAAAGGTAAAATCCTACATCGTCCATCTGTACAACCTAAAAATACATTATTGCATTTTCACATTTATTGTAGAGTTGCAGTTGACTTTGTCTGAATTTGTTGTGTTAATTTTTAGAACAGATGTTTGAGTGAAAAAAAAAAACATGGTCATTTAGTGCACAGATTTTTTAAGGACATGAAAAATGATCCAGAGGTTTGTCTAGAATAAGTACTTTTGAGACAAGCACATGCAGAACACTGATAACTGAATCACCCGGTAAATCACCTCAATTATCGAAGCACAAACTGTGCTAAAGTATTTTGACTCTGAAGCACCAATCATAAAAGTAAAACTGTGTAAATGGTTTTTGCCCAGTTCATATTCTGTGTGCACTCTTGAACTTTAACTGAAGTTATCAGAGATGTCCTTTAGCATTGTAGCATGATGCCCTCTGCTGTTAATACGATGCTACTAAGTGAAAAACATTGACTCCTTTTACACCCCAAGTTTTACATGCACAGGAAGCGTAGTTTAAACATCTGGTGCACTGCATAACCTTCTGAACTTTTGTCACCACATTTTTCATGTCCAACCTTTTGAAGAGTGAAATACAAAAACACAGAAGATGAACTTATTCAGTGTCTAAACCTATTCTGAACTGAATCACAAATTGCCTGGCAGTGTGTTTAGAGAAGCTCAAACTAAATTCCCAGCTCCATTAAACTAGAGCCAAACCTTAGAAACTTTTCACATGGCTTCATCACGCATTGGTTCGTGTGAAATTCGTTTTTTAAAAATGATCTCAGCTGTCTGCGGGTCAGAGTTCACTATTACCGTGAGAAAGCAGTCGTTGCCTGATCATTTTGCTGCTCTTGTTGCAAATATGTTGCAACGTCCTTCACAGAAGTGCCAGGGCGAGATGCCCAATACTCAGCAGATCAGCATCAGTTACTATAGCAACAGCCATGGACCAGACCGTGGAGTCAACATGGCTGCCAAAGGGGAACTGCAGCAGCCAAGCTGCGTCTGTGTGTGTGGCTTCACACATGAGCGGCAACCACAACATCTTGGCAGT